ATATATACCAGCCTAATTTTTGTATTATAAATCTATCACTACATTCTGTCTTGAGAGCCCTAAAACACTAGAAGCCACTGAACTACATTAGGTTTAAGTAGGACACCTGTGTTGCAAAACGGACACCCATCAAACAAGTCTGAAATATGATAACAAATGACATTTATTTACTGTATATGGTGTAAACAGCAACAATAATCAAGAATAATATGGTTGATATGATAAATCTTCTAATCATATCCTCTTTGCACTAATCATTATTTTTGTAAAACCTCAGAAGAACTCTAACCCTAGTAAAATATCAGTAATATATAAAAAAAAACTATAAGAAAAGACCTTTACTAATCACTGAAAATAATGTGTTTTGCAGTTCTGGGAGGTAAAGCTGTAATATCTGTTCCCTAAAGGGTTAATGTTCAGGGGAGGGAGGGGCTAGTTGTGTAAGTGTAGCGAGACGAGCCTGCAGCCTAGCTGGGGGCTGGGGCAGAGGAGACGGAGGACCAGGAGCTGTGTTTTTTTGTTGGTCCAGGAAGTAGAAGCTGCCCCTCCTGTTGTTTTTCTAATGTATTGTTGAACTCAAAAGAGTTTTTAGATGACTATGACTGCTTTTTTGCACGCTGGGAGTATTACGATGGCTTTTTAGCTTCACTACTTTAGCACATGCTCTGCATGTCGACGTCAGCTCTGAGTAAACAAACGAAGCTTAACCTGGCGAGGGAGGCATGTAAACCCTGGCAGCACGCAGTGGGAATTTATTGTTTTTATCGCGAGATGAAAAATTGTTACCATGGTGAATGTCTATGAAGGTACATCGAACACGATAACATATCGCCCATCCCTACTAGGGACTATTTAGTTACATGCCTTGCACTAAAAACAACACAACCAAACTAATWAAGTTTTCCCATTTAAGATTGTATGACTTCCCAGTTTGTAAAATATTTTGTAAAATGTAATTTTTTGAGCTTTATACCATGTTATAATGTCATTCCCTCATCAAAAACATACCCAGGGTGTTGCTTTGACTCATTCATGCATGTTTGAGAAACCGTTGAGTCTCCTGTGGTGGCCATGTGGAGCTGCTTAAAYGTTTTCTGGTACAAAGTTCTGCCYATTTGAACAAAACTCCTCCCTGAACCTCAGCCTGCAGCTGAACTCCCACCCCACAGAGAAGCCCTCTCCCGAAKCATTTTGTGAAGCTGTGCTGAAGTGGGAGTGTCAGAAATGGTAGGAAGTTCTTAAAGAGACAGAAGCCAATTTCAAGGAATTTCAATTGAGCTATARTGCAAAATCAAATTTATTTTTAATACAGCTTTTTCATAACTAAAKGTAACATTATGGTATAGAACTGAACTATGTGAATAGAATTTATACAATACCCCCTTTAACTTATGCAAAAACAGTCTTTAAATGTRCGTTTTGCTTCAAATACTTAAATAAAAACGAAAGACATTGTCCAGGTGGTAAGGACTTATAGTAAAAAAAGCTGCAGATGACAAACCTTCTAATAAAACCGAGGTTTTGAGCACAGTAACGTGCTGTTTCAGCCATCGATCTTTACATTCTTACATCTTTACCAGTCTAATATTTCAGCATGGCAGGGGATGCATTGTGGCATGAAATCCGAGCTTACACGTGACCATGGTTTATACTTCATAATCCTTTCAAAAAAACATGCCAGAAGCAGACACTAGCTATGTTTACATGTGCAAAATTCTTTGATCGGATTGAAATACATTCAGATTAAATAATCTGACTGTATCGTTTACATGGGCACAATCCGATCATGGCGAGTGTTTACATGCACCAGGATTTTATTCAGAATAGAAGCACTGGCATGCGCAGTTGTTAACTTTCCCTAAAAAAAAAACAGAAAAAAGTTGTACTTCCGTGATGAACATAAACAACCATCTTCTGAGCTCAGAATGGACCTGTGACAGGTTTTAATAATGGTGGAGACGTTACTGCACTCTCTGGTTCATCTGCAGGTGACGTGCAGACTTTTTAAAAAAAAATTTTTGCAAAGCAGCGCAGGCTGTGTGTCTTCTTTATTGAATGAGAGAACAGGAGGAAAAGTTTGGTCTGCTGGAAACCACAGAGCCTATAGGATGATTTAAAAAACAATAAATAACAAACATCAAACAGCCATCTTCCAACCTGTTCTGCCGCTAGAAATAAGTTACTTTTTCCTCTCTCCTTTCCTCCTGCTTCGCAGCAGGTGCTTTCATGTCCGCAGCTGACACTCCCCCCACCCCCCTCTCACCCCGCGGGTGCGAGTT